TTTTGTGCCAGCGGCTTTTCCGCAAGAACTGCTCTGCCTGAAAATAAGCGGTAGAATGGCTCTTGAACAAGGGGTTTTTGCACAAGAAGGAGCAGTGTGGACTGCTCCTTGCGCAAAAGCTACTTGCACAAAAAATGGCAGCTCATTAAGTATGCAAATGAGGTGCAACTATATTCATCACCACACCTCATTTGCATACGTTCTTGCACAAGAAAACGCAATGTAGACATAGCCAATGTGTTTACACATTCTTAACTTGACTTAGTAATGTTATGGATGTATTTAATATATATCATCCTAATTCTGTAATTCACATTGTTATATTTATATTACATTGTTAGTATTGACTATTATAGTTTCAACTATTCAGCAAATATTTGTATCTCTGTATGACTATCGATACACCTTTTAACATAGATATAAAATAATAAAACCCTAAACAATGATCTTGGCCCTTTGGATGTGTAATATCCATATATGTGTGATATGTATAATTTATGTATGTGTAGCATGCTCATGACTGTAATATCTGGATAATTATGTATCAAAATACATCTGCTAAAACAGATACATGTTCTAGGTTCTTTCTTATTTTCTTTACCATTGTGTGTATGTCTGCTTCTAAAGCCTGAATAAGCTAATCATGAAGCTCAGTAAGGTTCAATCCTATCTCCACTGTAGTGTCCCGGACCTAGCCAAAATGGGTATCATGCTAGGATATGAAACAGACCACATTGGCAACACTAATAGAGGATCTCTTCCTGCCCCTCTTCAAGGGTTATAGCTCAAAATTTTTATTGCTGGACTCCTCTGCAATGGTGCTGAATCCCATCAGAGCTATGGCAGAAGTGACACAGGGCTTAGATCACTTCATTCATCCCTTTCAATCTGCACCCACAAAATCAACTTGGGCACTCGATTTACAGCCCCAAGCCCCTCACCCCTGGAGTTTTCAAAGGTGGTGGCTGTCATCTTATCATTAGCTGCAAACACCATCTAACTATCCAAGAGCCTACTCAAGATCAACCGCTATAGGAAGACCATCTAGCTGAAACTGAATCCAGGAAAGACGGAGGAGATGCTGTAAGGTGGAAGTACTTTGAAGAACTCATTATATCCATAATGCTGTCCTTGATTATTCATTAATTGAAAAGGTCTAATTTCTAGTAATCTGACTGGTGGGAGTAAAACAAAATGTTAAACAGAAGAAGAAAAAAATCCTGTCTGATAATAGACAGATCAGTAGGGTGACCCTTAATCCAGTAGGAAACAGAATATCAAAACCTAACCTTCTGTTACTGTGACCAAAGAGATACTGCAGCACATGTAAGAAAGAGACACTGTATATCTGTTGAACAGGCCTGGTCTAGTCCTGGCCAGCCAAAGTAGAACTTCCAAAAAGAAAAGGAAATGCCAGGTCCCCATTTTGTGAATAAATCATTAACTTGATATATCTGCAAGTTGTTCACAATCTCTAGTGAAATAAAGACAACTAGAAAAGAAATATAAACCACCTATTTGTCATTGCTGTACTCGTGAAACACAAGCACAGCACATTGTTTTGTATTATGGCATGTCCACTGAATTTCTTTGTTGGAAATTGCAGGGGGATTGGCTATAAAACCCTAGTTCACAGTCAAATCTATGCAAATATCATGGTTGGGAAATGTTTGCAGCACTGCAATCCATAATAATTACTGCTAGCTTTCATATAATGTTTTTCTTCCTCTGTGTACTTTAAAGACATATCTAATGCATCCTCACAAAACCCCTGTGAGGCATGCAGGCTTTTCATTGTCAATTTAACAGCTAGGGAAGCTGAACCTCAGAAGTTAAATGACTTGCCCAAAGCCACAGAGAAATCATTGTGGGCCTGATCCAAAGCTCACTGAAATTAACCCAAGTCTGTCATTCACTTCATTGATCTTTGGATCAAGCTCTGTGAGAAGTGAAATAAGAATTCAGGAGCTCCTGACCAGGCCCACCACCGAGGGGGGAGGGGAAGCAAAGAGGGAAGCTGTCCCAGGACCCAGCAATACAAAAAGACCCAAAGCTTCCAGCCACTGCTACAGCCAGAGCCTCAGGCCCTTTAAATCATTGCTGGAGGGCTGCCTGCGGGAGGAGTGTTGCTCTCAGGCAGTGTTCCCTCTAAGATGCCGGGCACCACAGCTTCACAGGTGATTAATCAGCCCCGCCCAGTCAGAGGCTCAGGGCTCTGAGCAGGGAACTGACTGACTGGGTGGGGCTGATGAATCACCTGTGAAGCTGTGTCTCTGCAGCTTAGAGGGAACACTGCTGTCTGCCTAGCCTCAGATCCACCCCCTCCACCTGAAGCCATGCCTCTTCTAGGGACACAGAGCAGCTGCCCTCCATCTTGCCCAGGGGGACCTGGCGAGGCTATCGGCCCCACTGTTCTTGACTATGCCTCTGTCTCATCACATGCACCCATTGGGGGACAGAGATGCCAGGGCATGTTGAAGTCTATCACAGCAATACTGGCCCCATGTGTCCTCTATAAACCCTACATGAGTACAGCCAGATGGTAGCAGGCCCACCAAGGCGGGGTTGGGAGATGGCAGTGGGCAATTGCACAGATACCTGACATTTCAAAGGGGTCAGATACGCCTTTGAATGCCATTCTGCCACTCCGTGGGGCTGAGGACTGGGGGGAAGGGCCCACCCCCACACTCTGGGCCGCACTAAGGGCTGACTGCCTTCAGCCCTGCCCCTTCTATTTGAGGATCTCCACCTCCCGGGGGTGCAGATCTGCTCTGCCCCTCCACCTTGGCTCTGGGCCTGTTGGCAGTATTTTTTACTTTCTAGAAAACCTCTGAGAGGTGCATAAGCAGCACGGAGAATTTTGCATTCTCTTCATTTTGCTCATTTCCTCCTGCTGCAACCCTGTTTCAGAATGTAATGGCTCTGCTACGGATGCCACGTATGGTTCCATATTTCTGGGTGTGACGTGACAGAACGTTTCACATTCAGTACTGTGCAGTGTTCCTTTTTGTTTGGGTTGGAGCTGTCCTTGCACATCTGGTGGCAAGTTGTGAGGACGGGTTTCCTTCACTGCACGCTGCTTGTGGAAGATTATGGCCTACTATGATTGTCAGCTGTGTGACTTTTAAAAAGGAGAGTAAGAAAATTAGTATAGGCTGAGGATGTCTGTGAATTGCATCCTATCCCTTCACCTCTGAGTTTATCTCATAGCACTCCTGAAACATGAATGTTCAATATGACAACCATAGTCTCCCGTGAAATAAATGGCAGCCGTGAAGTTTCAAAGCATAATCTGTAAGCAGTGCATATATCGCTATATTGAAAAAAGGAAACAAATCACACCCAGAGCAAATCCTTTTTCATAAGCCCACTTATTAGAAAAAAGTAATGTAATATCAAGAGTTTTCATTAACACTCGTCTTCAATAAGCCTAGAGCAAATTCTTGCTTGCTGCGCACTTGCGATGAAACAGAATGGCTTGAAAGCAGAACGTAGTGTAAGGGGAGTGTGTGGTGGCGCTAGAGATTATTTCTACTGACATAGCGGTTCTCAGACAGAGCAGTTTGGTTTTTGTTATGTGAATTTAGTAGGAGAGGATTGCTGATGTTTTTGCAAATACAGTGATCATATTTAGCACCCGTAGCATGCTTGACACCTATAAGTGCTGAACACGTGGGTTAATCTTTGCAGGTAAGTAAGCATTATTATACTTCTTTTACAACTGCAGAAACTGAACTGCAGAGAAGTTAGTACACTTGCCCAGAGTCACACCCTATCAATGCCAGACCAAGGGTTACAATTGGAGAGTTCCAGGCTCTGGGGTCTATCTGTGGAGCAGTTATCATGCTGCCTCAGAGCAAACTTGTGTTCAAATTTGCCAATTTGTGCCCTTTAAAAAAATACTTGTTTCTCTCTTGTTCAAAACAAACTCCCAAGCTGCTGAACTAACTCCTGACTTTGCATGCATCATTAAATACTTTGCAGTTGCTACCTAGAAAGCTCTGCAGAAAACCTGTGGAAAAGCCAAGTAACTCACTTTTCTTTTAAATAATCAATGACATCAAATAGCAGTAGTGTTGTGCCAACAAAGAGATCGCTGTCTCAGAATGTTTTATTTATTGTGCCTCAAAAACCCAAAAAGCATGTTTCTAACAAATGAGAATTAAAAAAAAATTGACTTCATGTTCATTTAAAACATCTACTCTCATGAATTCAGGATGCCACAACTCTGGTGCTATAAAATTCAACTCAGTTTTGTATTTAAACAATATGTATGTAAGGTCTGGCAAAGAGAAATACGGAGAGGGGTGCATGAAAGCCAAATATAATTTCACATTAATTTAGTTAAGTGGTCTATAAATACGCATTTAAAAATAAGTGTGTTTAAGATAATTTACTAAGTCACCTAACTGCCATTTGAGAATGAGTTCATTCTCAGCTTCAAACAAGAACTTAATAGGTGCAGTGGCAACTTTAGTTCCAAGAAAAAACATTTGAAATTCTTGTCAGACCAGACTTATATAAAACCCACTTAGAAGTCGAGCTTTTTCTATGGTGTTCATAAATCAAGGTCACTTATGTGAGAAGACTAAGTTTTGTTAGAACTGACAATTAGAGATAGAGAGCATATCGACGGTGTTAAATGATATTCTTCCCACATTCTGGGTCAGAAGGCAGTGTAAACAACATAGTGGCATTATAAAACATAAAATTGCATTCCGGATAATAACAGAGCCTCATGGTGCACAGTTTTACACATTAATGTACTATGTTGCACTCAGTCATATTCATATTTTAAATTATATGACATTTCCTCATTTATGCATAGTTCTAATTTGTTTTCAAAGGGGCTGGCTAGTTGAAATGCAGCCTTTTTCTGCCTTTTCTTCATACAGTGATACCCAGAAAAAAGCCTGGAGCAAAACGGTCAGTGCAGGAAAATAGAAACAAGAAGTAATTTCAAGATTTATAAGCCAAGATCTTATGTGCTATATTTACAGATTCAATCTGTGTACCAGGCTTTGATCCAGGCCTCAGCATGATGACTGGAATAACTCCAATTAACCCTATGATACCAGGCATGGGGTTAGTGCCGCCGCCTCCACCAACAGATGTGCCTGTAGTCAAAGAAATAATTCACTGCAAAAGCTGTACACTCTTCCCTCCAAACCCAAGTAAGTGGATCTGATGAAAGAATGCTTGGCAATCATGTTTTCTTAATATTTTGCATGAAATGTTTCTAGTTGCTGAACAATATTTGAATGTGTTTACAAAGAAAACACTAAAAGAACCCACAGTGGTGTGTATGCAATAGAAGAAATAGAACTGATATATTAAAGTTAATCATTTTTGGATGTGCACTAATATCTGTAATGTTTCCAACCAAATTGTATTTAAGTGTTGCATGTATGCAGGATGGTAGAATGTTGAGCGTGTTTATTCATCTTTACAAATACAAGAACAAAAATAGGAATATGTTTTGTACCAAAAGACACTGGATCGATTTAACAGAGCTGAAAGAGACTGGATGTCTCACTTAGTTTTAATAAGACATTTCCCTCTGTATTTCTTTTTCATTTCTATGTCACTAATTCAAATCCAGACCAAGTCAGCAAAGATGGAAAATTGGTATTATTTGAAGGCTGTTCACTGACTCTGTGTGCAGAATGTTGTACTCTTAGTCTAGATCCCATGATTGTGAGTCCACATCACAAAACAGCACCACAAATGGGGTACCACTGGTAAAAGAAGAGAGATGCATGTGAGAATGAAAATGAGGAATCATCAATTGCCTCACCCACTAGACTTGTTCCCTCTCACTTGTGGGTAAGGTGTGTGGCTAAGGAAATACAGGGAAACTTGTACTACCATCACACATAGTGCACCTCTTCTGGGGTAGACTGCAGATTGCCTGTTGACTAGTAAATGATGCAGGTGGTGGTAAGCTGAGTGGCCCCCAGAGTGCTTTGGGACTTCCCAGGATACAGGCCTAATGTTGTGGGATTTGGAATAGTCAAGCTGGTTGCCAATTCTGGGGCTTAACATGTAGAAAGGGCAGATCTTCATGCCCTCTCCATCTCCTTGCCGTTTTAGAGCACCATGTGCACCCCAGGAAACAGTCCCTATGCGCCCTTAGTGCAGGGTCTGGAGTTCATTCTGGCCCTTGCATGGACTGTGGAAATGAAAGACAGACTCTTCCCACTGAACATCTGCATACGGGCAAGGCAGAATCAGCGGACTTCCGTTCCTAGGCCTGTCAGTTAGCACCTTTCACCAGCATCACGGGGGGACAAAAAAAGAATGCAAAGCAAACAGAATTTTGCTCTGCGTTTGTACTGTCCCTAGCCCATTATTTAAGCAAACAGGCTGAGTGTCAAAAACAATTAAAAAACTAACCTCACTCATCGTATTTCAGTGCCAAATAACTAATTCATGTTAATCGATGTTGGCTTGTAACTGGTATTTTCAAAAGTGCTCTAGTAATCTACATATGAACAAGGTGAAAACATTCTGACAAAGTATACCCTACCTTTCATACAGCCTCCAAAAATGTAAGCTTGCTCATTTAAATGTAAATGATGATTTTTTTAAGTCACTTCATCCTCTGGTGGTTCACAGCCAATGAGTACTCTGTGTGCTGTTAGGTTATCCTTCCCTTGCTCTGGCCTCTGTTCTATTATCTGGCAACAAGACAAAATAGATAACCACTCTGGAAGAGGGTTTTCATCATGTTGTCATTTCATTGTGTTTCCCACTCTGTTTTTTGCTGTTTGCTGTGTGTCTGTATTACAAAGGAGAAATTAAATTATATTAAGACTGGGTAACATCATTAAGCCTGAGTGCCTGAAGTTAGGCTCCTGTGTCCATATACAGGCACCTAAACAAATGTGGCCTGATTTTCATTACTCATCAATTGGGGTGGGTGTATTGTAAAAAATTAGAGATGAGTCAAAGTGTCTGAGTTCATACTGAAATCAGATTTGCACAGGAACTTAATGTTTGTTTCTGAGATCATATCAGCCCTTAAGGTTCCTCTGATCCAAAACATCACAGACTTTTCTTGGGGGATTTCAGCTGAATCGGGGCAGGAAAATAGACCCATTTGGGTTCTGGATCAGACCTAGACAGCAAATTATAATGGCAGAAATTTGACTCTGAAACCATCAACCAAAATTGGGAAAAGTGCCTATTTAGGGACCCAGTTTTGGCCAATCCCTAAATTATTTAATTTTCACTGATTCCAGTCTCCTCCCAAATAAATTGCTATTCATCATAATTTTTGTTAAAAATTGATTGTGGGGATAATTGGGATGAATGTATCCACAGTCAAAGCTTTGTGTTCTAGTGTGATTTTTATTTTGATTTAGATCTTCCACCACCTTCCACAAGAGAGAGACCTCCTGGGTGCAAGACTGTGTTTGTTGGGGGTTTACCAGAAAATGCTACTGAGGAAATCATTCAGGAAGTCTTTGAGCAGTGTGGAGATATTACAGCAATTCGGAAAAGCAAGAAGAATTTTTGTCACATTCGTTTTGCAGAGGAGTTCATGGTTGATAAAGCCATTTACCTTTCTGGTACTTTATATTCTTTTATGGATTTTCTGTAGTTATTTGTATGTTATGAGGCTAATGTGTGCTTATTTTCGTAGCCTTTATCTCAAGGAATGTTGCTTGAGCTCAGCAGCTTTGACTAGAAGTGGAAAGGGTGTAATTCCACGTTTTCCTGTGCTCACCAAAAGTAGTGTGTGATTCTGTGAATTTTGCCTACCCAGGACCAATTGCTCACCATTCCATGATATTTCAACAGGCTCTAGAATTCATAACAGTGCAGTGTTATTTTCAGTTTTATGCAGGTTTATAAGGTTTTTACTCACAGCTTATGGGGGAAGTGGAGGGTTCTGGGCCAGGATTGCTGCAGTACTTCAGTGCCAGTTGTTGGGACAGGTGCTGGAAACTTCACTGGCATGTTTTATACATTCTGCAGCCTGACCTCAAAGGCTTCATAAGCACATTATAGGTCTGATTCTAATACCCTATTCATACAGAATATGAACTCTTTTCTGCCCAAGAAGAAGATGGGAATATCTGTCCCGTGAAGCACTTCTCATCAGTAAAGGTGTCAAAATCTGCTCTAATATAATGAAGGGTATGTTCCTCAAGATATCCACCGACTGCCATTTTTAAAAACAAGTCAAGTTTCATGCCTTTAAACTTGAGAGACCATTACATTGTGATTTGGAAAAGTGCCACTCCTTTATTTTACAAGTTTTTCCAAATCTTCGTCTCATCCCTCCCTCCTTCCTTTCTTTACCTCATTTCATCACTCCCATTCCCATTTCTTTTTCCGATCCCTCTTCCATTTGAGCTTTCCTCCTTTCCATCTCTTATTATTATTTTGTGCTTATTTATTACTAGAGGATTTACCCCAAATTGCTCAGGTCCTTAACTGAAATAATGTTTGTTTTTCTTCATTTAAATCATTGTGTTGGTGAGGGGTTGGGGATGAGGGGTTCAATACGCAGGCTGCCCTGGGAAGAGAGAACAACCCCAGCCCTCTCTCAGGGTATGTCTACACTACCCTCCTAGTTCGAACTAGGAGGATAATGTAGGCATACCGCACTTGCAAAGGAAGCCCGGGATTTGAATTTCCCGGCCTTCATTTGCATAAGCGGGGAGCCGCCATTTTTAAAACCCCGCTGGTTCGAACCCCGTGCAGCGCAGCTACATGGGGCACGAACTAGATAGTTCGAACTAGGCTTCCTAGTTCGACCTACCGTTACTCCTCATTTCACCTCGTGGTGTACCGGTAGTTCGGAATAGGAATCCTAGTTCGAACTACCTAGTTCGAGCCCCGTGTAGCCGCGCTGCACGGGGTTCGAACCAGCAGGGTTTTAAAAATGGCGGCTCCCCGCTTATGCAAATGAAGGCCGGGAAATTCAAATCCCGGGCTTCCTTTGCAAGTGCGGTATGCCTACATTATCCTCCTAGTTCGAACTAGGAGGGTAGTGTAGACATACCCTAATAGATTTTAAAGAGAAGCTAGATAATTTCATGGAGGTTAGGTCCATAAAAGGCTATTAGCCAGGGGATAAAATGATGTCCTTGACCTCTGTTTGTCAGAGGCTGGAGAGGGATGGCAGGAGACAAATCACTTGATCATTGTCTTCAGTCCTCCCTCTCTGGGGCACCTGGTGCTGGCCAGTGTCGGCAGACAGGATACTGGGCTAGATGGACCTTTGGTGTGACCCAGTACGGCCATTCTTATGTTCTTATGTTCATATTTCTCAGCTGGGGAACAAACAAGGCAGACACACACACACAAAGGACAAACTCTCTCAAATATACAGTAGACAGCTGTCTCTTTTTTACCTCTACCCCCTGTTGCCCCAATGCAGTTATAGCTAGAGACATAATGGGTAGCAGGAAGTTATTATCTGGAAGATAATAAGCTGTTCCGGTCCTCATTTCTAGCTGTTTGCTTGCACCCCTGTGGTCATTTTACAGTATAATTGAACCTGCTAACAGACCCCTCCCTTTCTATTTTATAAGAAACAATCACATTCCAGGCACATCCTATTGTCCTGGCACAACAAACACTTTACCTTGTTTTAAGCTATGATAAGAGGAAGCCACATACCAAATTTGGTGATCCTAGCTCTTACCATTTACATGGAGTTCCTTAACAAACATACTCACGGTTGGACAGACAGACAAGACAGACACATACACTCTCACTAATACTTAGTAGATTTCTACATCACTGTAGTTTGTGTAGCACTTGGCAGTCAAATGAAACAAAGCTGGTAGGTAAGGTCCCCATGGAAAGCAAGACTAAGAGGAAAAACAACTGAAGGGAGTTGGCAGTTGTTTAAAAGGACATTATTAAGGGGCCAACAGCAAACTATTCTGCTGCATAGGAAAGATAGAAAGTATGTCAGGAGACCACCTTGATTCAACCAGGAGATTTTATATGATCTAAAAATCAATATCGAGTCATATTAGTGGAAACTAGGTCAAATCGCAAAGGATGAATATAAGCAAATAACGCGAGAATGCAGGGGCAAGTTTAGAAAGGCAAGGCCATAAAATGAGCTAAATCTAACTAGAGACATAAAGGGTAACAAGAAAATGTTCTACAAGAATATTAGAAGCAAGAGGAAGACCAAGGACCCAGGATAAGCTCAGTGCTCACTGAAGAGAGAGAAACAATAACAGGAAACCTGGAAATGGCAGAGGTGCTTAATGACTTCCTTGTTTCAGTTTTCATCAAGAAGATGATTGGTGACAGGGTTCTTAACCTAGTGAATACTAGTGGAAATAGGGTAGGTTTAAAAGTTAAAATAAAAAAAGAATAAGTTAAAAATTACTTAGAAAACTTACATGTCTGCAGATCACCAGGGCCTGATGAAATGCACACTAGAATTCTCAAGGAGCTGACAGAGGAGGTATCTGAGCCTTTAGCTATCATCTTTGAAAAATCATGGAAGTCAGGAGAGATTCCAGAAGACTGGAAAAGGGCAAATATAGTGCCCATCTATAAAAAAGGAAATAAGAATAACCCAGAAAACTACAGACCAGTCAGTTTAACTTCTGGGCCAGGGAAGGTAATGGAGCAAATAATTACAGAATCCATCTGCAAACATCTGGAAGTTAATAAGGTGATAGGCAACAGCCAGCATAGATTTGTAAAGAAGAAATCATGTCAAACCAATTTGATAGCTTTCTTTGATAAGATATCATGCCTTGTGAATAAGGGAGAAGTGGTGGATGTGATATACCTATACTTTAGTAAGTCATTTGATATGGTCTCACACAGCCTTCTTAAGAATAAACTATGGAAATAAAACCTAGATGGTGCATAATGAGCTGGATCACCATTCTCAGAGTAGTTATTAACAATTCACAATCATGCTGGACAGGCATAAAAAGTAAGGTTCTGCAGGGGATCTGGTTTGGGACAGGTTCTGTTCAATATCTTCATCAGCGATTTAGATGATCGTATAGAATATGATTATTAAGTTTGCAGATTATACCAAACTGTGGGTGTTGCAAGTGCTTAGAAGGATAGGGTCAAAATTCAAAGTCATCTGGATAAACTAGAGAAATGGTCTGAGGTAAACAGGATAAAGTTTAATAAGGACAAATGCAAAGTACTGCACTTAGGAAGAAACAATCAGTTTCACACATATAGATTGGAAAGAGATTGTCTAGGAAGGAGTACTGCTGTGAAAGGGATTTAAGGTGCCATAGTGAACCACAAGTTAAACATAAGTCAACAGTGTGACACTGTTGCAAAAAAATCAAACATGATTCTGGGATGCATAACAGGAGTGTTGTGAGCAAGACAGAAGAAGTCATTCTTCTGCTCTACTTTGTGCTGATCAGGTATCAATTGGAGTATTGTGTCCAGTTCTGGGTACCACATTTCAAGAAAGATATGGAAAAATTGGAGAAAGTCTAGAAAAGAGCAACAAAAATGGTTAAAGGCCTAGAAAACATGAGGGAAGACTGAAAGAACTGGGCTTGTTTAGGTTAGAAAAGAGAAGTCTGAGAAGGGACACAATAGCAGCTTTCAAGTATCTAAAAGGGTGCTATAAAGAGGAGGGAGAAAAATTGTTCTCTTTGGCCTCAGATGGTAGGACAAGAAGCAATAGGCTTAAATTGCAGCAAGGGAAGTTTAGGTTGGACACTAGGAAAAACTTCCTAACTGTGGGTGGTTAAACACTGGAATAAATTGTCTAGGGAGGTTGTGGAATCTCCATCACTGGAGATATTTAAGAGCATATTGGATAGACATCTATCAGGGATGATCCAGACAATGTTGGTCCTGCCTTGAGGGCAAGGGACTGGACTCAATGACCTCTCAATGTTCCTTCCAGTTCTATGATTCTATGAAAAAAAAAGCCCAGGTCCCAGCCCAGAATAACTGATCTACAGAGGTGTTAAACAACACTGCTCACAGAACAAGTCATGATTATTTTGTGTTTTGTGTGATGAGGGCCAAAATTAAATGTGACCCCAAAAAAATGAACAACACAGATGCAATGCAAAAGAGGGAAGGAGTCAAAAGAGAAGATCATAGAAAAATATTATTATGCTACATCAGAATCAAAGTCCAGCTAGTCCAAGAATCATCTCTGATGGTGTCTCCCTAGACATCCTTAAGAAGATGGTTATATGAATCCTGATGAGGCAGTTGTGAGATAACTTGACCCTCAAAGAAAGTTTTCTTCTGACCTCTAATGGTCAGGGATTGTCACAAATGCTGAAACATAAGACCTGTTGATTATTTTGTATGCAATCTATTGCTTCCTATTTTGCCAGTTTCTTTTGGATAATGTATTACAGTTATTATGGGACAGTTAGGAAAGTGAGCAAGGGTGGAGATTAAACTCCCTTTCCTCATTCTCTGAAGGGTTATTTTCAAGCTTCCATTCCTTTCTCCTTCCTGCCTCTCCCATTCATTCTTTGTTCCATCCTTGCCCCTCCTTTCTTCACTCTTTTTTTCACTGCTGCTTTTACAACTCTCCTCATTTCTCTCCCACCTCTGCTTTTTTCTGTTTTCCCTTCCTCTC